GAAGTAAAAAGTTATACTGATACAGTCAGAGTTCAAACAGTAGATTTATTTTGGTCCAGAAATTATCACAAATTAAAAACTATTTTGTAAAGGTTAATGTGATTCAATCAGCAGAATGTTCTGATTATTAAACTTATATCCCTAAGAAAGATGGAATATCTGAGTCCCAAAACACAGATTCTGTTTCCAAAATCTTAGGAAGAAATAAAGCAGTAAAAGATAAATCTGCAATTTCTCGGGTAACATTATTTTAAGAGTTTTTCTTAAAATTTTCCAAATCTGAGTTATCCAAATAATTCGAAAAATAGGTGAGTGATAATTTGTTCATACATTAAATAATGAAGGACCTATATATACTAAGGATCGTGCTAGATGTGCTAGATGCTGTAGCAGGCAGAGAAACCAGTGTCAAATAGGTAATTAAATCAGTGTGCCCAGTACAGTAACAGGTACTTTGAGAGCACACATGGGACAGGAGGTATGCTGGGATGGAGTAGGGATGAATACAGTATCCTTAGGAGCAGGATTTCTCAACTTCAACAGTCCTGACAAATTGAACTGGATAATTCAATGGTGGGTGTAGGGAGGCGCTATCCTATGTGTCATAAAGTATGGAGCAGCATATCTGGTCTCTACCCACTAGATTATAGTTTTGCCATCTCAGCTGTGACAATTAAAATTTCTTTAGACATTGCCAAATATCTTCTGGGGGTCAAAATCACTCTGAATTAAGAACCAATGCTTTAGAGAAATATCTGTTCTGAGTTCTAAAGAGTCACCACTTAGCCTGGTAAAGAAGAAATAAAACATTCTAGAAAAAGAGTACACTAAGTATAGGACCTAAATTCAAGAAATCAAAAGTAAGCAAGGCATTTACGCAGAGGCAAGTATTTCACTAGGGCTACTTAAGTCCAATGTGTTGGATACGAGTCTAATAATTTTGATTATAATGATCAGTAAGCTGCTAAAACAGAAGGTATCCTTTTATGATAATGAACAGCAAAGAATGGTCTCCTTATAGAAACACCGCAACATTCCAAACTGCTCAAGTTTAACCAAATTGCTTGTCTAAAACAGAGAATTTTAATGGAGTGTAGGGTAGGAAAGACAAATAATTTAGGAAGGAATATAGAGCATTCAAGAGGTAAGGTAGGGAGCCACAGGTGGTGTGCCCCATTACGTGGCACAAAAAGGTTCAGAACTCAAAATTTAGGGAAAAAACAAAAAAGGAGAGGTAAGTGATGACAGGAAATGATATGCTGACTATTCTCTCCATTTCTCTCAACTCAAATACAGTGGAACCTCAGGTTCTCAATGTCATTCTTTCCAGGAGGCCGTTTGAGAAGTGATTTGTTCGAAAACCAAATTCCTTTTGTTTGTCCCCTGAGAGACACATGACGGGTCATACAGGCATCAGCATGAAAGGGTTGCTGGGTAGAGAACCAAAGTCCTGTTGGACAGCCAGGACACTTTTTCCTTGAAGAGCTTGGTTGAGAACTGAATTGTTTGAAATGGGAGACATTCAAGAGCCAAAGTCTGACTGGAGAACAAGCACAAATGATGTTCCCTTTCCACTTCCTGTTTGCTCACAAAGTGAGCAGGCATGATGACATTAATCAAGTCAGAGCAAACTATATACTATTAACGAACCTGGAAATGTTTTATGCCCTGCACACCTTTATCTTATTTAGCAAGAACAGATGAAAAGAAAAGAGTAAATGTGTCTCAAGCTTAAAAGAATATTAAGCTATTTTTAAAAATCTGAGACAAAGCTAAAATTAAACTTCTTTATATATGTTACCTAAGAAAATACGATGTTATCTGTGCAAGGCCAAAAACTATATATATAACTCTATCTAGACAGCTCTGCAAAAGAAAAGTAAATATGAGGCTTTCAAAGAAGATCATTGTTGTAAAATCTCAAAATCCTATGAAGGCAGCAATGACCTTGTCTTCCTATGTGAAAGAAGCCATAGCATGTATCCCTGATAATTCATTATCAAAATCAATCCTTTTTGAAGATTTTATTTATTTATTTTTAGAAAGCAGGGAAGGGAAGGAGAAAAAGAGGGAGAAAGACATCCATGTGAGAGAGAAACACTGACTGACTGCCTCTCATACACACTCCAACCCAGGGCTGAACCTGCGCTCTGGGCATGTGCTCTCAGCAGGAACCTTTCACTTCATGGAAGGGCGCCCAGCCAACGGAGCGACACTGATCAGGGCATCAAAATCAATTTTAATAATACAATGGCCTTTTATTATATGCTGTTTCCATCACTTTTGAGAAATTCTCAGTTTTCATAATGAATTCCATCACAACAGGACTGACAGAATTCTGCAAAAATAAACTCTACAACTCCTCCAAGACTGCATATAAAGCTTGGGAGATAAAGCAGTATGCTACAGGTCATATGTAATTATTATTACTAAGGATGAGAGAAAAGTCTTTAAAAAAAATTTTGTCTAGAAGGATGTTAAATTGCACCAAATTGTCTCTACCATATTAAATTGAACATTTATAAAATAAATTTTAATAAAAAAATTCTATTTAATAATATATAACAGAATAAACTTTTTCCATCCATCTCAATTCAAATGGCATAAAGGTAATTTTCCTCCCCATAAGTAGTTATATATATCTATATGTAATATTTAGATTTGCATACTCCTAGATTCTCGATATATAGTATAAAAAGGCACAGCTGTGGATTGTTCCTGTACATTTATTCTGGTAGTTCTCAGCAGTAATACTAATAAAGTTGATCCTTTCTTGAACACAACAATCACTGCTATTTGTCTGATTTACTGGCAGTATGTTGAAGGCTGGGTTCTATCAACAAAAATAAAAATATAACGAGTTATAAGGTAGGCAGTTTTAAAGCTTTACCGTCTTGCTAGAATCAAAGACATCTTACTATATCTTAACATACATTTTAGAGTTTCAATGAATATACTCAGATAAAATTGACAACATTTTAATTCAGTGTCTCAGAAGAAATAGAGAAACCATCTTTGTCATAACAGATGGCTTATTATTATTCATGATTTTTTTTAATTTTTATTAAGAGGCTGGATCCAACAAAACATACCTCATAGATGTAGGATAATTATAATATACAAAAAAATACTATAGTTCCCCAGTGCTTTCATTATATATTAATGACTTAATAATCCTGTTAAAGAAAATTATTATACTAGTAACTTAAAAATTAATACTGTTATCAATGTTTTAAAAACAGCTAAAATTTCATTCTATTTTAGAAAATAATATATTTGCTGATTAATTTACTGAAATTTTATCAAGAGATGGATATTATTACCAGAAAAGAGGCTTATTTTTAAATTTGGTAGGCTAATTAAAGCCAGATGGAAGAGAATCAGTAGTGATCACATCTTCACAGTGAATTCCCAGAATAGGCACATGTAAGATTCAGGGGGGCGCAAAAAATTGATACTAAAAAATTACTAAGGTGAAAGGATGCAAAAAGGTATGTGGAATGGTATGATGGGGCAGGGAATGCAGACTTGGAAAAAGTCAAATGAAAATATGTGAGAATTACTTGTGTAAACAAAAATTTCTCTGCCTTGACCTTAATGTTTAATGTTTCTCTTTCTGCTAAAACAGAAATCCTAAAGAGTTTCCATAAAACATCCCTTCGTGGCCTCCAGACTTAGTTACCACCTACATCAAACTTCTCATCTCTCTATTAACAGGATTCACGGGGCCATTCTCACATGGACTAAGTCTTCACATTACACATTAACAAAATAATCTGACGACATGAAAATAAAGATCCCCCAGCAGCCACCCCACAAAAAAGCAGACTTAAAGTTCATTCTACAATAAAATTTTCATATGTATAATTTAATAAATAAAATCTTGTAAAAACATGAATTCGATGAGAACATGTTAGGGTCCCCAGCATGAGCAAGAGCTCTTGGCATGTAGTAAAGACAGTTTTTCATCAACACTACCGCTGCACATTTTTAACATCTCTAAAATATGGCTACATCTCACAAGTGACAGTGAAGCATGGCTTAATTGGAAGCACTCTTCTCTTCTTAATGATACATAAAATAATGCATTTTACAAACGATGTTTCAGATTAAAGAGAGTAATAAATGTTAAATTTAGTTGAACTGAATTAAACCAAAGGGAAAATGTAATGTCTAGTAACTCTCAGAAAACTGAAATTCGTGTCTTTTGAGTCACTCTTTTATGTTAGTCTGTTTAAAAGCTCACATTATTATATAAAACTAATAGTATGCCTTTTGACTGGATTGTTTAATCCTTTTATATTTAAAGTAATTACTGATAGGGAAGCACTAACTATTGACAATTTAATTGCTTATGGTCTGTCTTGTAGCTCATTTGTCCCTTGTTTCCTGTTACAGTCTTCTTTCATGTTTTCCCTGATTCCTTTCTCATTTTCTTTCAAGTATCTTCTATAGGTATTTTTTTTGTGGTTAATAAGGAGTTTATATAAAACCTCTTACAGTTTCAACAATCTATCTTAAGCTGATAAAAAATAAACTGTCACATACAAAAACTTCACACTTTTACTCCCACATATATACTTTATGTTGATACCACAATTTATACATTTGTATATTGTGCATCCATTAATTTATGTTTACAGGTCATTATTTTTTATAGTTTTGACTTTTGAATTCTAGGCCAGAATTAAAAGGGGTTTTCGTATCACTGCTACAGAATAATAGTATTCTGTATTTGTCTATATATTTATGTTTTCTAGGCTTTTTTATGCTTTCATTGTTGTCATGTTGCTATTTGGCATCCTTTTCTTCATTTATTCTTTAGAATCTAAAGACCATACTTGTTTGATAAATAAAAATACCAAAAACATATGTGTGAGTGGTGGCTGGCAATTGTAAATCAGAATTGAGCTCCAAAACAGGGTACTGAAGAAGCTGTGTTCCTGAAACCAATAAAGCAACTCCAGTCCATTAAAATCTTGGCCATTTTTAATACTTACCAGTTCCTCTGCTTAAATATGGAGGCTTGAAGAACTTCACAACACCATAGACATTGACAATCATGCCAGCCTTGAGTTCATTCAGGGGTGTATAGATATAACGTGTTGCTGGAACCTAAAGAAAGACAGTGACTATATCAATATTAAGTATTTACATTTTAGAATCATGTTATGATCAGAGATGAGTCACCTAACAGCATTTTTTTCCTTTTGAGTGGCTAAAAAGAGGCTGAAATCTGAAAAAGGAAATACACAGCTTAAAAGGTTGTATATAAATAAATGAGTATTAATTTTTCAAAAAAATAACTTTGATTAGAAATGGTAAAATTTATAAACAATTCTAAGAAATGCCACTTAAGAGATATTGGTTCTGGGTTTTAACCTTAAGTAGTATCATTTCAGAACTTGAGGGATATTTTTTTTTCTCATACTGCTATAAGGATATTACTTTTAGGACTAAATAAAACCAGGTTTTGATTATATGTGGTATAAAGATTAAAAATGGTAATAAGAAACAAAAATTTTCTGAAATAACTGTATATAAGTTTGGAAAGAAAAGGGAGAGTGATTCACAAGGATATGTCTGCATATTAGTCAAACAATCCATAAAAGGGTTCAGACATCTGGTCCCATCACCCTCTCAATATACTACCTTAATAACTCTCTCCCCAATGTAAAAACAAATGAGGAAGTCCAGCACAGCTCAATGACCATAACCATTATGGTCATCCAAGTAATGTGCTTGTTAATTACTGGCCAAGAAAGAACTCCTTAACTATAATTTAGCTCTCTGTGTAAATAAGCCAGCATATGTGTGCACAGCAGCTAAGTTATACTCTAATGTTTCAGAATACCTAGGCTTTTTGAAAAACCATTTTTGCAAAGTTAAAGGCTCCTTCGTTTACTTCTGCTTTATTTATGGGTTCATGGATGTGTCATATATTTGAAGCTGACTTATTTATAAAGACTCTGAGAAATGCTAATGTCTGGGGTTAATTTTTTTTTAAAGTACATCCATCCTTTAATTGGCTATACTGTCCCTAAATCACAAATTCAAATTATACCATTATAGAATTATTAAGAATTTAAAACCTATATCTAGTAGTCATTGGCAACTAGAGACAAAATCTCTGGATTCTGTTTGTCTATTAGAAACTAGATTTGAGAACACAGCAGAACATGAATATTAAACTTTATCAATATATTAGCTTCTTTCCAGTTTCACTCAGCTACAGTAGCTCACCTGTAAAAATGAGAACCTTCCTATTGCTACAACAAAATTTTACAAAATACTGAAAAAAGTGATTAAAAAAAGAAGAGCAAAATGTGTGACACATATAATAAACCACTTATTATATAATTCAACACATAATAATCTTTTTAAATACAAGCTGATAAAAACAAAAGAAATATATTTGCTGGACGTTTAAAAGTAGAAATTCCAATGTCTTTGCACAATAAAACTTTTTAGTTTTCTTATGCATGTAACTTATGCAAAATAGCAGCAGATATTCCAGACAACAAAACAGCCAGATGCTAATTACTAGGTAAATATATAACTTGAATGTAACATCAGATATCAAAAAGTAGAGATTAGCCGTGGCTGGTGTGGCTCAGTGGATTGAGTGCTGGCCTGTGAAGCAAAGGGTTGACAGTTCGATTCCCAGTCAGGGCACAAGCCTGGGTTGCAAGCCAGGTCCCCAGTAGGGGGCATATGAGAGGCAACCACACATTGATGTTTCTCTCCTCTTTTTCCCTCCCTTCTCCTCTGTCAAAAAAAAAAAAAAAGTAGAGATTATGTTTTCCCATTGTACTGTTTCAAAATCAGACTATGAAGTGGATCAAATACACATATTATATATGTATGTATATCTATATGTATGTATATGTGCAGGGCTGTGTACATATTCTAAATTAAACTAAATGTTGTCTTACCAAAGACATTGACTCTGAAGGAAGATCTATTACAGATTTAACATAAACCTGGAAAATAAAAAGGAAAGGGTTTATTTATATACAAACAAATTCCAATGTGATTACAGACTTTTAATTGTAGTAAAACTACACATGCAATTGTGTATAATATTCAGATTCATCAGAATGCTATAAAGTTATGGCTTAATAAGAGTGACATGTGCAAAGTTATCTCAGCTAAGCTTCAGCCTAATTCATCAATTTTAATATCAGGACAAACCCTGGCCCAATAAAGCTCTTGTGCATTTTAGGAAAAAACAGGCAGACATTGGCCTTAAGCACAGGGCTTGTCCCAGCTCTGCCTCACAGCCTTCCTCACATATGCAGTCTCCAAATGTCTGTGCTGGGGATGGAGGGTTAGGATGGAGAAGGGAAAAGGTAAAGACAAAGAGGATGAGCACCTTCATAAAGAATAAAATAGGAGGAAATCAGTTTAACCTAAAAAGGCATACTTGATCAATTTAAAGTGAAATCAAACAGATCATCAAAAGAGGCTGGTGGTATAATTGTGAAGACTAAGTTCAGGTCTGGAGAGTCTGTGGAGTTTTAAAATGTTCATCAATAACTAACTATCTGTAAGGGAGTTTTCTTTCCTATCTGGAGTCAGACTAAATAGTTTATTTGCAGATTTACAGAAATACTACTTCTATTTCATCATCTTAGCTCATTAAAACCATAACATGAATAGAGAGTAAAGGTTATACACTTACATAAACAGTTGAGTTGAAGTCCTCAAATGCTTTCAAAAATAAGCAATGTTCACCATCTCTGTTTGTAGATGAAGACAAAACAATAAATGCAGCCACTGCAATGGTGTCCTACATTAAAAAAAAAAAAAAGATTTTGATTAACAAAATATCTAATTGTGAATGACATATAAATCCTTATTTTATATTATTTAAAAACAGGAATCATTCTATAAAATGGAAGACTGGTTAGCCTAAACTTGTTTAATGCTTTCTGAATAAAAGGTTGAGCCTACCATCTCCTATAACAGTATCAACAATGCAGCCATAGATGGGAATAAGGTCTTCACTTCAGGGACCAGGAAAACACTGACTAAATCACTTGAAAAAAAATTTTTATTTAGTGGGACTTCAAAAATCAATCTTTATCTCAATTTATGTCAATAAAGTTGCACAAATAAACACAATGAAGGGAAAATAGATGCTCCAACAGTATTAAGAATGGAATTTAAATGAAACAATCTCAGAGTAGAGAGACTACATTGAGAAAGACATCTCTTTAATACAAAAACTCTGCATTGTTACAAAACTAATATATGTGTCTATAAATTCAGGGTATGAGACATAAATAAGAAATTTCCATTTATAAACTAGTAAGAGCAGAGATTTTCCCTTCTACTTAGGTTTACAATAGTAGGAAGAAGCCATTCTCCATTTATTCCTCTCATTCTGTAGCTAAATCTCCTTATTTCCCAAATACTGAACATACCTAAATACTCAATGAGTTCTGTCTTGATATATATATATATATATATATATATATATATATATATGTACATGTCTATATGTTATATAACTATATAATTATATGCATAATTATATAATTATACATAGAGAAGTTTATATGTGTTTATATAAAATTATCTTACTCCTCTAATATTACCACCCAAATCTTAAAATACATAAAAATTCCTGGACTTTAGGCAGCTTCCTTCAATAATCTTAATCTCTTCCTAGTGGAAGTCTTACACACAGAAGACTAGCTTTGCACACGGAGGGGTCTGGTGTCAATTCCCAGGATTCACTATTTAGACCCACTACCTAGGCTGTGAGTACCTTGACGCCAGAGGTCTGATTTGTATTTACAGAGTCTGGCAGGCCCACCATAAACAGGATGTGAGTGAATGGAAGGATCTTACATTGCCTTTCTAAAATCTCTGGCCCTATGCAGATATTTTAGCTCTGCAAATTTCTGCATTCTTTTTTCTTCAGGTGAGACTGTCAATACAATTGTGTCTGTGCTGATAATGCTCAATAACCACAACTCTTCACAGTTAAATGGGAGATGATGTTATTTCTCCCTCTATGTTTCTACCATGTTTCAGGCATGATTTAAATGAAAAAATTAAAATTTTAGTCAAAAATTGAAAGTTGTTTAATCAGACTAACACAGGAAATAGAAGTAGGTGAAGTCACTGGCTTATCAGTTCTAAATTCTCTTAAAAGCACACAAAAAATAATCTATCTTATGTTGTTGTCTCTTTACTTTAAAAAGTCTTAAACATAATTATAAATACATTAAATGCAAATGTTAGAACAGCACATTTTTCTATTTTTATGTATAATCTCAACTTTTTTTAGAGTGTTTCTTTAATGATGGAAAAGACATTTTAAATAAAGGGAATAAATCACTAAAAGCTGAACATCAGCATTCGTAAGAGAAATTTACTGTACTTATAAAAATAAACTTATATTTGACTATACATAAACTTCATTATAGTCCCTCCATTTCATCCCAACCAATCTTACCTGTTTTATCTCCACATACTTCCACTCAATACTATGCATCAGATTCTCTTAAATGCCTACTGCTTTTTCACATATACACTTTGCTTATTCTGAGGCACCATTTATAATAAATAGCATTTTTCTCTTTTGCACATTATCTGACCCTGTCTTTTAAAGACCAGACTAAAAATGCTTTTTCCTTGTGAAGTCTAGCTTAGATTTTTGTCCCTTTTCTGGAAAAATACTTTTTTTCCTGTGAACTCTCCTATCAGCATTTTGATAGTTTTTGTTATTTAAAAACTTTTCTTAATGTTTTTAAAGCCCTTAAAACTCTTTATTAGGAGTAAAAAAAAAAATGTATTATCCATCTGTATATCCCCTTTAAGTGACTGGCAGAGGCTTCTGTTCTGTTTATAGTTAGTGCTCAACAAGTGTCTGTTGAATAATGCAATTATACTGCTAAAAACTGAATTACAGATCTAAACAAAAGAGGAATAAATGACTCTTAGTGGTCAGTTTCCATGAATTTACAAGGCTTTAAAATTAATTCACACAGAGAGGATAAAAAAGACAAATATATGGGCGGGCGCAAAAAAAGAATTTGTTTATAAAAAAATTGTGTATTTATTCTTAAATGTTTAAACTTCAGTCATCTTCAAAGTGCTATCCATTTGATGCCATACACCTATTGAGATACTTTTTTCCATTGCTCAGAAAAGTTTGTGAATTCATCACTTTTGATGCCTTTTAGTGTTCTTGCCATTCTTTGTTTCATCTCTTCCACACTGGCAAAGTATTTCCCTTTGAGAGTGTTTTTCATCCAGGGAAACAAAAAAAAAATTGCTCGGGACAAGATGTGGTAAATAGGGAGGGTGGGGCATGCGGGTCATGACATTTTGGGTCAAAAACTGCTAAACACTCAGCATGGTGTTGGCAGGTGCCCTCATAAACCAACCATGAAATTGGTAAACACATTGGAAGAGTCTTCAAAAGTAATTCACTGAAGCTGAACACAGCCTCTCAACACCAGCTATTGCACTGATATCGATGGGATCCTGGAGCACTCACCTAGTGGGGGAAGCCTGCACTACAAGTGGCTCGACCTCTTGAGATAATTCTGGGGTTTCTTTGGGGGGTCCCCCCTTGAACAATAGGCAGTATTAGTTTTTATAAACACTCATTAGATTTAGTTAAAAATTAGATTTACTATGCATTATTCTAAGTTCTAAACTTCTGAGAAAGCACACTGAAGCCATTAAAATGAGAATGGGAATTACACAATATTCCGCTGTGTCAAAGTAGATGTTTTCTCAATTTGCTAAAAAAAGTATTAGGAAACATGCCTGAAAAGAATACTGTGCTACAAAAAGTAATGAACTGGCTAAAAAGTTAATTACATTTTTTTCTGTACAATGGCTCTAGCAGTGCTTAGTTGTATTTAACTTCATTCAAAACAATTGTTAGATTATATTGTGACAGCTGTCATATCAAAGTGCATTTTAAAAGAACGTAAAAATTGGTGAATTTTTATGCAGTCATTTTAGTATTGAAGATGGAAGATACACAACATTTTCAGCATGTTATGCTTTATTATTTCGAGAAAGGTAAAGACACAACTGAAACACACAAAAAGATTTGTGCAGTGTGTGGAAAAGGTGCTGTGATAGATCAAACGTGTCAAAAGTGGTTTGCGAAGTTTCTTGGTACTATTGAAATTTTGGCCAAATAATTCTTTTCTGTGGGGTTGCCTTATGCACTGGAAAATGTTTAGCAGGACCCCTGGCCTCTGCCCACTAGAAGCCAATAGCGGGATAGAGTCAACATACTCAAAATATTGAAATCAATGAAGTTGATGGTCAAAATGAAAAATGAGTCTTTTATTTTACAAAAAACAAAAACAAAGAACATATACAGGCTTTTCGGCCACCCCCATAATAAGGCTTTACCAATATAAGTGGATGAATATTGTGTGAAAACATTATCTGGTTTAACTGAACTCTGGACTTAGGATACTGAGAGATCAGCAAATGGGTCATTTCCCTTCTGTTCGTGTACTACCTGTCACAGCATCTTAGAAAGTGTAAGCCCTTATCATTAAAAAATTTCGTATTTAGTTTAGGCAATAGGAATATTACTACAGCAAACCAATCTAAGAGAAAATGAATGAAAGCAGTAAAGGGCTTTTTAACATGAATGACTGTTCTTGAAATATCAACAATTAAATGGCAAAAAAAATCATGCAACTGATTTGCACATTAACAAATATGGTTTTTACATGCTATTATCTCCTAATGAAGAACATAGTCAGCAGTAAAATAAAAATACAAATAAATAACAAAAATGTAAACCACAAAACAAGTGTATTAATTTGCTAATTCCTAATAGTCAATATATTAAAAATTCTCAAGTTGAAACTGTTAATGAGCAGGAAAACAGCACAGATAATATGAAACAATTGATAATCCAAAAATAAAAACACTTATCTGAATTTAACAGACATTAAGTAACTGGAACTACAGTGACCTTAGAGATTGTCATAGGTTATTGTGTTTTAAAACACTGCTAAAGAGAGAAATCTGACATCGTTGATAGTGTAATGGTCAACAGAAAATGTGTCTCTAATGTAAAAAATGTGTTTTGTGAATATTAGCATTTTTCTGATCATGTAACACCAGGACATAATTGGAAGTAATATATGTAATATCACAATGACCACAATCTTTAAATGGCCTACAAATCACTATATAATCTGAGGCCCATCCACCTCACCAGCCACAAATTGTGACTCACTGTGGAATCCCATCTTTTCAGTTCCTCAGCCTTCAAGGATCTCACTCAGGGCCTCTAAATATGCTGTTCTTTCTTACTGATCCACTATCCCAGTACCTCTGTGCTCATTTCTTCTGCTACTTTTCTCATTCTGCTATTTAATCTTCTTACTTACGTATTACATCTGGATAAAATAACTTCCTAATAGTTATTTAATTCCATTCTTCTCCATTGAACACTTTCATAATGGCAAGGTCCATAACTGTCTTATTCAGTTAAGATGTCACTGACATTTAGCATAAAGGACAGAAAACATTCACCAAATGTTTAGACATCAAATGAATTACTAAATATATGAATGTAAACATAAATACAGAGAAAGAATACCTTCACTAAATTTACATAAGCTGTACAAATACTACAAAACTTACTTCATAGTACCTTAGCATTGTAGAAATTGAAAATGACATTCATGTTTTTCAGAAAATAAAGGCCAGAGAGGATAAATGAATGGCCTACGGTCACATGCAGGTAATTAATCATATATCAAGAAAAGAATCCAGATCTCCTGACTT